TTCTGGGTCATTGCACACTTTGACTCTTTTAAGTTTAATGCTGCTTTTTAGTGTTGTGCGTCCTGTGTCTCAACCTGTTGGGAAGGGATATTATTATTATTGATTAACTTCCCTGACATTTTGTATTTTGTTTTGTTTTTATTGTTCTTGTTTAGAAACTTTGTTTTGATTTTATTCTGTACCTGCTTTTGGTGATCACTGACCCAGAACAGCAGGTGTATATTATTAAAGTAAACAATACGTGTTCATACAAACTATCTGATATAATTGGAAAGTGATTTTGCATTTGAAACACTAAGTTGTTTTGTTTGAAAAGACACTCCTCTTGATAGCATAAATAATTTCTCTCTTTTTCTTGTGACATTCCCCCACTGAGTGTCTCTCCCCCTTGCCATTACTGGTTATTAGTAGCAAGTGATTAAATGCTGATTTTATTCAAAACTGTGTGTGGGTTTATTTTGACTAGAAATCGACAGGCATCAATACGGCAAGACTGTGCGGGGAGGCAGAGATCCTAATGTAAATTCTTGAGCTGTAATTACTTCTTTCTAACAGGTCTCCCCCCACCCCAAAGGAAAGTTGCTTTTATAAAATGCTAACACACTTCACCCTACATGACAGTTTTTAATATCAGAGGCATTTTATTGGAACAGAAAAGTGGAAACTTCATATTTCTGGAAACCAAGCAGTTCACCTCAAACAGGCATTGTAGGAAACCAAATATGTCCATTTCTCTCAAAATGTGCTTTCCCCCTTGAAATATATTGCTGTTGCTCAGAGCAGTGAAGGTCACTGTCCTCCACCCCCAAAACCCACCCAAAACTTCTGAAAAGTGAGTGTCTTACATCACACTATGAGTAGATCAGACTCCTCCCTTCAAACATTCTCCCTCGGAGCTGTAGAGAGTTGTAAACTGGTTAAGCAGCACAAATGCTTTGTCTGCCCAAATAAAGGGAGGAAAAAAGATGGCAGTCTACAGAAATCAAAAAGCCTGTTGGGCTAACCGGTAACATACTAACGAAAATATTTTATTCTTCCTGCCTATTTAGGCTCCCCATATTTTTTGTTTCAGTTTGCCCATTATTGCTATGTTACATTTAACAGAATTAAACAGATTAAGTTAAGAGTTTAGCAGACAGACTGTGCATTTGCTTCACAGACCACATTCACAGAGCGCCCCACGCTTCAGGCAGATATCCACAGCCTGCTGCCCAGAGCGCGGGGCGCGCTGAAGCAGAGCGCCCCGCGCTTCGGGCAGATATCCGTAAGCCTGGGGAGCCCGTGGGAGTTCATGCAGGGCTCCCTAGGCTGCGGATAGCAGCCTGCTGCCCGGAGCGCACGGCGCCCTGAAGCCGCGGCTGGGGGGGGGGATAATTTTTTTTTCTTTATTTCACCCCAAAAAACCTAGGTGCGTCCTATGGGCCGGTGCTTCCTATAGGGCGAAAAATACGGTATTTCCAAATCTGCTAAACTCCATTATACAATACCATATCAAACTTGACAAACTAGTATTCCACACACACCCACACACCCCATGTGAAAGTGTCAGCCTGGATATTTTGCTATTCTCTCCTTTGAATCTAGGGTTTTCAATTAGTGCATTTTTCAATTACTCTCTGCTACTTTTCACACTCTTTCCACTCTTGTGGCTTGGAGGGATGGGTATGTTAGTATTACTTATCTCCTGGGTCAGGACCACCGTAAGGCTCCGCCCCCCAAAAAACTGAAGGCATTTGTTTCTTCAAAGGTTATTTGTTTTTTTCACAATTTAGTGACCTTTAGCAAAAGTGTAAAAGAAAGAAAGAAAAGCAACACATCCAGGACCTTGTTTAAACTAAGCCTCACAGTCTGAATAACTTTTGGCTTCCATTCAACTTCTTAAGGTGCCAGGAATAACTCAGAGGAGGAGTCATAGCCAAGCATTTGGTACATGAAGACAACTGTTGTAGAATTATCAAGCAATCTTCTGCTCCATGATGCTGGTGGAGTAAGAATGCAGAGGAGGACCCAACAGTACTGACCCAAAGCACAGAGAAGTGGTAGTCCAGTACTACCATTGGTGTTTCTGCTGCTGGTATCCTGTCACAGGGCATTAATTGGGTGGGACAAGTATGGAGCACGGCTGGTGAAAAATATGCTGAATCTAATGCCTCCTGGATCTAAAGCCTGCCTATTTCCCATTGAGATGCCCAATTTGGGTCTGCCAGTTGCTGGTCTCCTAGGCTTTATAGACTTGTCTACCTATGTACTTTCTGAAACCAAAGTGGTGTGTTGGTTGCCAGATGTTTCAGCTCTCCTACCACACTTCAAGAGCATTCTCCCAATCACAATCTCAAGCACCTGGTACCCCAGTGTATTTTTTTTAAAAAAATGATATATATTGAAAAATTTTTGAATTACAAAAGAGAACAAAGCAGAAAAAGAGGAAAAAGAAAAAAGAAAAAACAAACCACATCAAACAATACAAAGTCAAAAAACAAAAATACACCACAAACACTCAAAAACAAATCCATCATTCTCAAATCCTCAACTGTCATTACCTTCTTTCTTTGACCTCCTCCTCTTCCCTTTTTTTGTATCCTAGTTGTTAATTGTCACAGCAAATCCTTTCCATATTTCATAATATTCTGTCATTACATTACCTTAATCTATTTTAATCTTATCTTACTATAAAGAACCTTAAAGCTTAAAACTTAAATCTTATTTTTACCAACTTCTCATAACCATAATATTCTTACATAATTCTTTAAACATTTTTGCTAACACCAAGTAATTTCGTTCCAACATTCTTCTAACATTCATCAATTTTATAAAACAATCCTAGTAGTAAAAAAAAAGAAATGAAAACAATCCAATCTTCATCCAGCATCCCTTCCTCCTGGTCCCAGGTTTTGTCAGTCCTTATTATCCCATCGATCTAGCGCATTAACCTGGTAACCTTGTATCCGAGGCCCTTAAGTCTCTTCCATGTCCCTTCCGCAGCTCTTCTTCATATTTATAACTGTATTTTCCTTTGTCTCCTGCTCCTTTCACTCGTGGGAACTCCAGCTTAACAATGTTTTTGACCCTTCTCGACAAATCAGCCCCTTTTCCATAGTCCACACTAAACTCCATGTGGTATTTAAGAACATGTTTCAAAATCCCTCCAAAATTAAGAGCCCCCACAACCCCAAACATCTCACGGCCCATTGCCAGACTTGAAAGGTCCAAACATCCCTGCATAGGGGGGTCTATCCAACCCCCCATTTCCAAACCAAACCAAACTTTATCTTTCCAAATCTGGCTTTTTCCAAGTTCATTTGTCAAGTCCAAAAGCTCATGTTCCTGCTGGGCCACAGCTCCCTTCATCTCTGGCGCCCAAGATTCAGCAACATCCTCTTCCCTCATCTGTTCTGTCAGGGCACACTCCTGATTTAATTCCTGGGTGGGCTCCATATAATTTCCCACTGCCTGTTCAAAATTTCTGATCGCATCAGTCATCAAGTCCGTCTTCTCATGTAGCTGTTCCAGTAGGGCATTTGTTTTACAGAAAGCACGCAACAGAGCTTCTGAATACATTGTCCTGCAAGGTCAGAAATCTATTCCCACGATTGTAATCTGTAACAGCTGCAAGCTCCCCGGAGTTGGTTACAGTTTCACAGTCTCCCTCTAGGGGGAAAACTTCTATTTGTTCTTTCTTTTAAAGACAAGTCTAACAACAAAGTTTCCTTTTTTCAGATATTTTGTCAATATTTGTTCCTTTAAAATGCGAAGGGGAACAATGGAATCAATATTTCTCTTCTTATAGCTATCTGTCAAAAACGTTTGTCTCTGGTCAATGAGCTTCAAAAAACGTCAGTCCTGACACCCCGCTCCAGGATCAGGACGGTGGAAAGTTACTTACTTTACACTCACTTCTGCAGGTTTAAACAGTCCGAAAAAATCCCCCCTCTTCTCCTGCTTCCGAAGGGGGGTTCAACAATTTTAAATGATGAAAGTTAATCTTTTACAAGCGATTTTCTGAGCTCTAGTTTGCCATGTCTTTGCTTTAATCTATCTACAAAGAAACGGAAGGCTGACTTCCTGTTTAGACCTTCCCGTTTCAGTGCCAAATTGAGGTAAACTTTTAAGTCCAATTTTCCTTTCTGCTTGCAAGTCCTTATTTAAAGTCCAATTGTCCGAAATTTAAGTACTCACGGGTGATTATTTTAGAAGCCAAATTGTCCCAGGAAAAGGCAGCGCTCTCCGGCAACGGCTGTGCAGCTTCGCTCCACGGAAGAAGCAGTTGACTCTCAGCACCGCGCCACTTCCCCCTCTTCGCTCCGGAGCCCGTTAGTGGGTTCTTTTGCGGGTTGGGGGGGCGCTAAAGGTGCCCGCCGAGTCCCATGGTCACAGGCTTCATCCGCCTGTGATTTTTGAAAGGGTCCCCGCTTCACCGTAGTGGAAAAGACCCGTTTCGCGTGGAGCTAGTCCCTCCAGATCAGAGGGAGTCCGCCATTGCCAATGGCGCCACCCCGGAAGTCCCCCAGTGTATATTGTCTTTGATACTGGAGAAAATATAGCCATAAAGATTAGTAGTCACTGATTTCCAGAATGTTATAGAATAGTGTCTACCATGTCATTGGCTTGCATTGCTTTTTGCTATGCTGAAGGACTTTGTTCATTCACAGTAAATGGTTTCAGTTATTCCAGGACCCTCTTTTGATTTCAGTTCCCTGCTTCAGGTCAAGACGGGAATCTTTGCACTTCTGTCTTATCTGTGGTTGTTCAGAATGAAGTAACAAGAGCTAGACTTAGTTAGACTAGGCTAATGCACTAAAGCAAATGAAGATGTTTCTCATGTAGCAATCATATTAAAATGCCACTCTGTAGACTTGGCTCTTAGAAGTCTAGACAAAGTTTTCAATAATGTGATCAGGGTCTGTGGTGCATATTATAGTGAGAGTCACCTAAAAAATCTCTTGCACTCATAATGGAACGGGATAAAAATGCTAAACTAAGAAAAACAACAACTAAAGGTGCTAATTTAATCTGGTCTGAGACATCTGACATCCGTTGGCAGCTGTTGGCTGGCATATCATCCCAGTTGGCACCAATTCAGGGCTGAAGTTCTTTGGAACTTTAATTGAGTTCATATTGTAAGAAATTACTGCACTTTTTCTTCTATTGGTTTTCAGCTGAGACTCAGGTGGAAGATCTGTGATAAAAAAAATTAAAACAGAAACAAGAACCTCCCAATTTTCTTCCAGTGTTACAGAAATATATTTATGCATCTCCTCCGAGAGCCAGGCAAGTGTCTGATAAGGCTCTCAGTGGACTTTTCTGTCTGATATTTTCAACCACACAAGAATGTAGCAATGCTACGGTTATTACTTTTCTTTCTTTATCTCCCCTCAGCCCCCTTCCAGCTTAACACTACTTAGAAAGCTAACACATTCATTGCTGAGCTGGGCTTGTAGCTTACTTGGATAGGTGTTCAACAGACAACATTTATTTATTGGTCTGGTCCAGAGCTCCGTAAGGAAAATATTTGTGTATGTGTGGCCCCTTTTTATAATGAATGTGCGAGCTTTGAGGCAGAGACACCATGTTTCACGTGACATTGGGGGGGGCTTGTTGTGTGCACATGATGTCACACGTGCAATTTGCTCGTGTGATGTCATGTGCATTGGGAGAAGGCCGTGAGACTCGGAAACGTATGCTGCCGCCACAGGGAGGCCTGGCGAGGCTCTCCACCGCTGCAGGGAGGCCTGGTGGGGCCTGGCCCCTCAATATTGCCCCATTCTCACATACTTTGGGGTGGATGAGCTGTCCTCAGCCCCATTAAGTTGGCACCTATGCTTTGAGGATATGGGATTCACATGCATCTTGGGCTCCTCTACAGAAAACAAAAAAGGAGATTAAGAAGCACACATTTTATTCAGCTTTGTAAATTCAGGCTAACCAAGCTGCATGGAGTTTCCCTTCATCAAACCTGTTTATCCTCAAATTACTTAAACAATTTAATGAATTCTTGCTTAAATCACTGTTACCAGCTCTAGTACAGCCAAGAGGCCACTTTTGCTTGATAGTTCTATTGTCAAAAAAAGAGATGTGTACTGAAGCTTGAGAGAGCCAGTTCAGACCTTAGAACACCAGTGTGACCTCTGATGATCTGTGAAGGATTCTTTAGCTGTGATTCCTGCATTCCAGGAGGTTGGAGTAGATGACCTTTTGGATTTCTTCCAACTGTACAATTCTACAATTATTTGAGTAACCAGTAGGGATGGGGGAGAAATTTGTTCATTTTATATTCTAATGCAAATCAACCTAATTCAATTTTCCTGAACCAACACACAATCCAAAACAAAAATGCTATTTAAAACGTGTGCTTCTCAAAATTGACAATACAGCTTTCCAAACAAATAATGTGTACAGAATAGCATAGAGCAGGGGAAAGGGTGCCCTAGAATCCATAGATTAGTGAAAATAGCATACAAAAATGTGTTGTATTATGGAGAGTTGCGAAATTCCTTGCAAAAATGTATGTTAGGAGAAATGCACACAAATCCATGTGGATTTTCATGCATACTTTAAAAAAAGCAAGCTGATGTGAAAATGGGACAAACTGGAGATTGGGGGGGAAATGAGAAGCTGACAGAAATTGATTTGTCCATCCCTTGCAACTAGTATTCCTCAGCAAGCAAGCAAGCCTCCACAATCCAGGCTGCTTTGCACATGCAGACTGGGAAATGCAGCTGGAGAGTCACAAGGAGAAAGCTCAGTCTGAAGTGCATTGCCCCTAGTGACAGTCTGCAGCTATTTCTATAATCTGGATGGCACCTTTGAGGTGTCAACTTCATGGAAAGTGCTGTAGGCAGTGTACATCAGAAGGCCGGCTTTGCAACCATGCCGTTCTGCGTGCTATCTCTTGCATAGGAAAAATGATTCAGAGAACAAAAGAGGTTAGTTTGAAATAGAGTGGTTCTACATCATCTGAGCCCTCATTAAATGCAACCCTATGTAGAGCACATGACAACGATTGAACCTTGAAGTTATGAAAGAAAGAAGCTCTGAGTTTCCACCGAAGCTGTGGGCTCTGTTGACAAGAGTTTGTAAGAGATGTGCTGCCTAGCAAATGCCCTTTGTGCATACAGCCCATGCACAGTGTAAAAATAGTTACCGTATTTTTCTGTGTATAAGACAAGCTTTTTTGACCCCCAAATGAGGCTCGTCTTATACACGGGTAGCGTGAATAGTTTTTTGGTGCAAGCCCAAGATTGTAAGCAGCGATTGGCCGCTTAATTGTTTTTTTGGGGGGGGGATGCCGAAAACCACTCACCCGCCAGAATGCAGCACACAAAGACTAGCGTCGCTTACGATTATCACTTAAAATCTCGGGTTTGCACTTCGTTCCGACGGGTGAGCGATTTCTGGCATCTGCCCCCCCCCCCCAACAATCAAGCACCCAATCACTGCTTAAAAACTCAGGCTTGCGCTTCATTCTGGTGTGTGAGCGATTTTCAACATTGGGCTGCTTGATTGTTCGGGGGGGGGGAGGAATCCCGAAAATCGCTCACCCTCCGGAATGCAGCACACAACCGCAGCTGCCTGATCGCCGCCATTAGTCCTGTTTGCCGCTGCGGCAGCCAATAGACAGCTGCCCTTGTCGCAGCAAGTGGGAGCGTGATTGGCGGCCACTGGCAGCGATCAGGGAGCTGATAGGTGGTTTCAGACCGATGAATCCAGCGTTTATCCACAAACAGCTTTTCTGGGTTATGTGGCCAGCATGACTAAACTGCTTCTGGCACAACGGGACACTGTGATGGAAACAAAACCAAACCGCATGGAAATGCCATTTACCTTCCCGCCGCAGTGTTACCTATTTATCTACTTGCACTGGCATGTGTTTGAACTACTAGGTTGGCAGAAACTGGGACAGAGCAATGTGAGCTCTCACCTCTGAAAGCCCTTTCCCACATGAATATCACTTCCCATTTTTCAAACAGGCTTCACCCCTCCCTTCTCTCCCACTGAAGGTTCAGTTGCAGGATATTTGGATCAGCCTCAATAATTATCTAATACACTTAGGAAATAGTCTGTCTCACTTCTGTCTGAAAATCAGTGGTACTAGTCATCCCCTCTGATGATACCCAAGGTGTTTAGTGAGCTGGTAAAGGTAAAGATAAAGGGACCATTAGGTGCAGTCGTGGCCGACTCTGGGGTTGCGGCGCTCATCTCGCTTTATTGGCCGAGGGAGCCAGCTGGAGCTGCCCAGTAATTATCTCCTGTTGTAGATGTAGCAGCTTTAGTAGCTGCATTGTCAAACAACGTTGACTAATGTATTTTCCTTTTTCTGATCTGGATTCTTGTTTCCAATTGTACGGTTTCCTTAACCCTTTAGCTGATGTGTGTCATTGCTCCACGAAATGTACCACGACTATTGCATCTGTGCAGGATTTTTTTTTTTTTTTAAGTGGCTCCAGCTTTCATCAATTATAGTTAAGTATATTTTTGTCACTTCTGAAAACTGAAGGTCCAGCTGCAGTGTCTGGAAGGAGAGATATTACCAAGTGTCGAGATACAAGTAAGCAATTGTCAATTTCCAAGGTGTTACGCAGTCCTAAAATCAGGATAAACCTTTATCTCGTATCACTGCTAGCCAAATTGACAAGATAAAAGCTAACACTTTTAGAAATTGAAACAGCAAGTTTCAAGGGAAAATTTGCTGCATCACAATGATGCAGTTTGTGAGAGCCACTGAAGGTACATTACAGATCCATAGTTTGGCAGAAATTGGCAATTAATTCATATCTTCTAAAGACAACCCTGGCTCAGTTAGATGGGCTCTTTTTATTCTACAGGGTCGGGGCATGTTCTGTTGAATACAAAGAATGCAGAGGAACAACAAGGGTGTGAATTAAGTGTCTCAAGTGGCCTTTTCAAGAAAAGTCACCAACATTAAACATATGGAGAATTTTATGATTATGAAATAATATCCTCATTGAATAACATTACATATATTTTGAATGTGATAGTCAAGATTAATATATTTTGAAATTGCAACTTGGAAATGGAAAATATTCAAAGCTTTTGTTTCTTTAAACTTCCATGTTCCATGACTAAATTAAAGTATGTTTAAGTTCCAGCATTAGTTCTCACTGGGATGCTTATGTCAGTCTACATAGCCTTCCAATTTTTATGTTCTTAGGCAAATCTTCATTGTTCATCTTTGGCAATAAAGTTGCCCCCTCTTCTACCTTTGCTCAGTTTTCAATTCTTTCTCAATTATTGTAATGTCTCCTCCTTGCTGCTGGCCTGAAGGTTTCATTGTATTAAGAATAGAGTTGTACAAAATTAGAGTATCTGGACAGAACTCATAGGCAATGTTTGGGGGTGCAAAGTGGTACAGTGCTGGGCCCAGGGAATAAAGCCCATTGGGGTCAAGGGGCAGAGTATCTTGTATGATTTATATTGTAAGCTATATTGATATATTTTATGAAAATGTAGATTATAAACACACAGAAAATAAACAAATGGTGGTAAAGAGATAGAGAGTGCAGGTAAATAGACATTATATGAGAGCCATTGTAGTTAAAGGGTGGGGTGTTGGACTAAGACCTGGGAGACCAGGGTTCAAATCCCCACTTAGCCCATACCAGTCCTGAAAGATCTTCATTGGCTCCCAATACGTTTCCGACCACAATTCAAAGTGTTGGTGCTGACCTTTAAAGCCCTAAAAAGCCTCAGCCCAGCATACCTGAAGGAGCGTCTCCACCCCATCATTCAGCCCAGACAATAAGATCCATCTCTGAAGGCCGTGAAACTCACTGGGTGACCTTAGGCCAGTTACTCACTCTCAGCCCAACCAACCTCACAGGGTTGCTTTGAGGGTAAAACGGGGAGGAGAAGAATTATGCATGCCACCTTGAGCTCCTTGGAAGGAAGGTGAGTTATATATGTAAAAAACAAACAAACAAACAGATATCTGCCACCGTCAAATACCAGCCACTCATGAAATGTAAGACCACCATAGATCAACCTTAAATAACTTATAATATAGTTATGTTATGAGAACGATGCTAGAACTAGAAATGCATGCAGAGTTAATTCAATTAGTCACACATGCAATCTCACACATTAAACCCAAGAGATCAAAATTACTGGAATTGCCATTAGAGCACAAATAGGTAGTGAGTAGAGTCAGGTTTATGTTTGCCAGCATTTTCATATAGGATCCAGCCAGTGGCCCAATAGTGCCAAAGGCTCTGAGACTAACATAGCCCCTCATGGTGCTATTGCATCAGTAGGCCTAGTCCTACAAGGAAGATGCACGTATATTCCATATGTGATTATATTAGAAGGAACATGGGTGGTGCTGTGGTCTAAACCACTGAGCCACTTGGGCTTGCCGATCGGAAGGTCGGCAGTTCAAATCTGTGCAACGGAGCTCCTGTTGCTCTTTCCCAGCTTCTGCCAACCTAGGAGTTTGAAAACACACCAATGCAAATAGATAAATAGGTACTGCTGCGGTGGGAAGGTAAACAACATTTCTATGTGCTCTGGCTTTTGTTATGGTGTTCCGTCGCTCCAGAAGCGGTTTAGTCATGCTGGCCACATGGCCCGGAAAGCTGTCTAGACAAACGCCAGCTCCCTCGGCCTGAAGCAAGATGAGTGCCGCAGCCCATAGTTGCCTTTGACTGGACTTAACTGTCCAGGGTCCTTTATCTTTACCTACCTACATTAGAAGTCAACAAGAATATTTTTTTTCTGGCATACTAAAGAAGCATGAATGCAATGTAATATTAGTTTGTTATTTGACAGAGAGAAAGAGATGCCAATTTGCATTAAAATTCTCTTCCATTTCCAATCCATTCCAGTATCTGTGATTAATAATAATGTAAAAAGCTTCCTACTGTGGAAATTCTGAGAACACGGTGCTGACATACCATAGATTATTTCCTCCTAATTCATTTATATTAGTGTCAGATGACTTAATAGATAGCCTGCTCCCTTGGTCAGCCAATCGTACAACTCATTCACATGTTAAATACTGTGTCCGATATAAAAATAGTAAAAGGAACCTTCTGAGATGCTCTGCTTTCTTGTGTCTTACTATGGCTTTTGAGTGGGAACTGCTGATTAAAAAGGAAGACTGCACTTACTCAATTCATGTAGCTGTGGAGAATAGTATTCAAAGAAAACTATTTGTTCTTATGGGCCAAGATGTCCTTTGACAAATTCATAGTTATTTATGGTTGAAAAACTCAATGCCATGCTTTGTCACAGACTAAGTGGTGAATTTATATTTTCATGTGTTGTGTGAATTACAGCTTCCTGGCAATTTTACTTTCTCAGAAAATATTGTTCCTTTGGCGAGAGAGCATTAACAAAGTGTTGCGGCTATACATTCAAACAATAATTCATATTCAGAGAAAGAATCTTATTCCTTGTTTCTTAAAGATGTCCTCAATGCAATACCTTCAAAACAGCCAAATTCTTCATCCAAGAAAGCAGAATTTTGTGACCTGAAAACACAGACGATCAACAATTATAGGACCACAGTCATTGTCCCATGTTAAGAGTGAACTGAGTGCCTCACATTCCACCATTATGAGAACTTGGCTGGATAATAACACTACAAAACTGAGAGAAGTGCAGTTTTTTGACAGGTGGACATGGGCACCCACCTGTCAATCACATGGTGCTATGGGCTTGACAGGTAGGCAGCCACACAAAGCCAACCCTGGTAAGTGAAGATTAGGTTCTGCTGCTTCTGGAACCAGAAGTGTTACCATGCCTACATATTTTCAAGCCTAAATCTATAACTAGAGAAGTGTGAGACTGGGCCTGGATCTAGACATGTCAAAGAAGCAATTCAGTTAAATGCATTGTAAACTCATACAGGGAAATCCTGTAGGGAAAGATGGGACTCTACAGCACCATCTGGTGTCACAGTGTTATATCACATATAAAACACTTTTTCTTTACCAATCTGAGTCCTGGGTTTCCCAGTCTGGTGAATCCTGAGCCATATACCAAATTCAATCCCATGCTTCCCGTCATGTAATCACAGCAATATACAATACATACAGTTTTCTTCATAAGTTGGTCGTATTGAACCAAGGAGATGCATGAGCTTCAAGACTTGCCTTTGGTAATATTTAGCCAGAACTTGCTTCAGTGGCTAAATCCTACATGAATATGCCGGCAAACATAATCCTATCACTTCTTACTGCACATCCATGTTCTAGCAATAAATCGAGTAATAACCCTCCGTTTTAGTCCATTTGTTCTCATTACAAGCATAAATGCAAAGATATTCATATAAACCCTTATTCTTTGTGCAGTTTGTGGGTGGACTACATTGTTCATCAAAGATTTCATCCGTCACCTAATGGAAGTAGAGCTATAACCACAACTCAGCAATTAGAAGTTAACATATGATATTAAACAATTACGCTTCAGCAAACCCAAATGTGTTCAAATGCTTTGGGCCAAGCCACTTTCATTAAAATATCACATCCGTGAAACTTGCTGCATCCAGTTTTGAATCCATAATTGTTTTCAGAAACAAAGCCACACTTCTGAAAATAACTGATTAATTAGGCCACATAGAAAATGTTAATATCCATTTCTGAGCATATGCCAGCAAAGACATATCATTACTGTATTCTGTTTGTATTTATGATATCTGCATGTCATTTCAAAATGGAAAGCACAACATTTTATTTAAAAAAAATGTTTTCTCACTAATAGTTCTACTTTATTATTATGAGTATAATGGAACTATAACCTAAAGTGGCAAAAGAGACTACAATTTTTCATGTGCCTTTAAAAGCCATGTTCTCCCCTCCTTGGTTCATTGAGTGATCTCCTGGAATCAACTCAGATATTTGGTAAGGAAGTGTTTTAGTCACGTGAGGTGAAACAAGCAGAGGTACAGGGGTGTGTGGTTGTGTGTTGAGAGCTTAATGTGCATAGCAACTGGCCATTGTGTGCATTCACCAAGCCTCATGAAGAATGTACACTTCAACCATTCATGAAGAGGGAATTGTGCACATTTCCTAGTCAATATACATAATCTCAAATTCAAAACTCCACTGTTGCTTAAAACCACCATTTTCCTCTCACATTTTCCTCTTAGTACCCCTCTACCCCCACTTTACTCAAATGTCTGTTGTTTAAAGGGATGATAAATCCTCCAATGGGTTGCAGAGACTATCAGAGGTCACAAAGACAAAGGAAAATATACGAAAACAACAAGAAGAGATGAGGAAAACAACAAAGAGAGGATTGGATAGAATTGTGAACATTATTTGGACAGAACTGTGAACATCAAAGCAGCGGCAATAAGATGATCGGATCCCTTTCGGAACTCGAAATATGGGTACCCCCAACAAAATTTTAAAATTTGGCTCTGTAATTTGGAATTAATGTGATTTGATTGGTTTGTTAATAAAAAATATTTAAAGATAAATCCCCTAATGGGGATTGTGCTGCAATTTCATGCAAATCCAGGATTGTGCTACAAATCCTCCAATGGGTAATGTGTGATGACAGCCTTATGTTTTATGTATATGTGGGGGAGGCAATTATGCACTGTATGTTAGGGGTGCGCATCAGCCCTGTGTGTATTCCAAATTAAAAGGCCACTCTTCTTTGGCGATCACTTGTAAGTAAGATTGTCTTCTATGATCACGGTCTTAACAGTGATTCCATAAGTGGAGGCCAATTCTGGATCCACACATCCTTCCACACTGGGGACATAGGTTTCCAGGCTGGGGTTGATCACGGTGAGGGTTTGTCAAACGTGCCTTCCTCTTAGCTCGTTTCTCCTTTCGCCCTGAGTTTGTGCTTCTTCAAAGACCATGACACCTTTGGTAAAGGCTGTTTCATTTTGTTCCTTGGTTTCCTTCCTTGAAGCATGGGTTGAGGTATAATCTCTGTACGCACCCTTATCATGTAACCTTACTGTGAAGAGGAAGAAGAAGAAGAAGAAGAAGAAGAAGAAGAAGAAGAAGAAGAAGAGAGTTTGGATTTGATATCCCACTTTATCACTACCCAAAGGAGTCTCAAAGGGGCTAACATTCTTCTTTCCCTTCCTCCCCCACAACAAACACTCTGTGAGGTGAGTGGGGCTGAGAGACTTCAAAGAAGTGTGACTAGCCCAAGGTCACCCAGCAGCTGCATGTGGAGGAGCGGAGACATGAACCCGGTTCACCAGATTACAAGCCTCCCGCTCTTAACCACTACACCACACTGGCTCTCTTCAATCTCTTTGGCCCAAAGCAGCCTCTTTTCTAGGAAGGTAGCTGCTGGGAAACACCTTCTAAAGTACAGTGGTACCTTGGTTTAAGAACTTAAACGATTCCGGAAGTCTGTTCTTAAACCAAAACTGTTCTTAAACTGAGGGTTACTTTCCTAAATGAGGCCTCCCGCTGCCGGTGCCCTTCCACCGTTCGGATTCCGTTCTTAGACCAAGGTAAAGTTCGCAAACCGGGACACTACTACCAGTTTTGCGGAGTTCGTAAACTGAATAGTTTGTAAACAGGGCTGTTCTTAAACCGAGGTACCACTGTACCTGTCATAAACTGTAGAGGTCCATGAGTACATGTGTTACCTCCCAGTTGTTCCATGGGATTATTCTGCCTTTTAAACAAGGCCACTTCACTGTTATGAGGTATCGTATTGCTGCCTGAAAATGATACAGTCTGCAGCGAGCAATGGGCAGAAGCTATGCAAAAAGCCACCGCGATTATCACTGTCAGAGATACCATAATAATAACAATTTAACTCTGTATTACAAGGCGCACAGCACGTCTTTATCACAGCATGCTCAGAGATCCTGGCAATCCCTTTGGCATCAGGACCGCATGAGGTAAAGACAGAAGGGCCATGCAAATAAACACGCAAGAGCAGCAGGTGGAAGAAGGGAAGGGAGGAGTATTTGTTGCTACCTACCCCACACAGTATGTCATAATGCTGGAGCAAGTAGTCTGTGTGTACAGGGGGAGGAGAGCTCTGCCTCCACCGCCCTGCTTCAGTATGCGTCACCTCACCAAGTACAAAGTGTCCGTCGTATTTATAGAAATGGCAGCTCTCAAGCAAGCAAGCAAACCATTCACACAGTGCATTACTAGAAGATTTATCTTGATTTTCTTTAGGGATTTGAGAAATCTATAGCCCTATAGCCCACTTTTCTTTCAAAAAGAAACTCAAAGCAGTTTAGTAATCTGCTGCAGCACACATAGTCCCTGTAACTAAATTAAGTTTCATACACTTGAAGCAACAATTCAGCGAGTGGGGGAGAGACAGCTTTAACCCACACAAAAAGCTATGCAAAATAATAATAATAATTTAAAGGTATTCACAGCTTGCAGGAAGATTTAAAGCAAGAGGGTAAACAGGACTGCTCTAGGGAGGGAGTTCTACAACCTGGGTGTCACAACAGAAAAAAACCCCCTGCTGTCTCACGTCTCAACCAATTTCTAGATAAGAACCAGACGTTGAGTTGCATCCAGAAATGAGCTGATGAAAGAAAACTGGAGTGATATGTTCAGCAAGGCAGGCTCCAGAAATCAAACTGGTTTCTGCAGTTTGCACTTAATGATGTTTCTGAGTGCTTTGCAGGGACTGTTCAAATATACCATGTTACAGTTAGGGTATACCATTGGGATTGGGGTATTGTTTAGGATTTGGGGGGATTCTGTTGCTGTTATTATTGCCCTAATTGTTTAAAATGCTTTAAATCGTTTTTAACTGCTTGTTTTTTTTTAATGTAGTGTTTCTGGGTTTTGTTTTGTTTTTAATTAAGGAAAGTAAGATGTTGCTGAGAAGAGAGGAGCTGGGGAGAGCAGGGGTTCCCCCAGTCACAGTGGTTCTGCACAAGGGGAGGGATGAGGTGGAGTGGGGCAGGCAGGGTAAGGGGAACACAAAACAGGCAGAATTTGTGAAAGACCACCTGCCCTCATATGAACCGACCCAGAACCTGCAATCAACATCCGAAGTCCTTCTTTGTGTGTCTCCTCCATGAGATGTCCAGAGGGTGGCAACACCACAAGGGGCCTTTTATGCAGTGGCTTCTTGTTTGTGGAATGCTCTCCCCAGGGAAGCTTACCTAGCAACTTCTTTACATCTATTTAGGCACCAGGCAAAAATATTTCTCTATAACCAGACTTTTGGCTAATTAGCATTCTATAGCCTTTAAAATGTGTTTGTGGAAGCGGGGTTATTGGGTTTTTTGATTTTTGTTTTGTTATGTATTTTGTGTTCTCATTTTGTATTTTTATGTTGTGAACAGCCTGTGATCTTTGGATGAAGGGCAGTATACAAATTTAAGAAATAATAATAATAATACAATACAGTAACCTAATCCAGATTTAGCCATGGCACGTGTGTCAGTAACATGATACAATGGTACCTTGGTTTACATAATTTTGGATTACAAACACGTCAGACCCGGATGTGCGTGTCTCGGTTTACAATATTTTTTTGGACTGCAACCCATTTTTTGGGGGGATTACGA